TTTGTTGAAGATGCCATGTGGCCTTCAAAAGGCAAGAGGTGCGGAAGCTCAGGCAGTGATTTTGCGCTTATCTTTGATTGACGAGGTTGCTCTAAAATAAATTATAAAAAAGAAGTGATAAAGTCTTGCAAGTCATTTGTACTCATTTTAGTATTCCAGGCAAGTTGTCTGTACTGTGTCAGCTGGGTTTCATGGGTTAGCCCAGAACATATATCTTAATGGAGCAGCAGTTATTAATGCAGTTATTCTCGTTTTTTACGCTCTCTTTCTCCAAAAAGTGAGGAGAATGTCAATAAGTAAGCAAAAGTCCGTTTTTAGGCGTTTTAAACACAAATAATTTTCTTTTTTAGCTGACAAAAATTTGAAGAGTATTTACCGGTCGTTGATTGTGATCAGCTTATCGGTACTGCTCGGCTCGATAGCCACCATCGTCATTGGTTTCATGTTCAACCTTGTAAGAACAAATCTTAGCGGTATGGAGATGTCTATGATTGCTGGTTTACCAATCAATTTAGCTATGGCTGGCAATTTTTTTGTGTACTATGTCGTGAGGTATGTTGAGTTAATCTTCTTTAAAATAGTATTAAAAGCTTTTTTTAGTGAACAATATCGCGATCTCTTTGACCAGTATTTGCACCTGGATATCTTGCGAAAGTACTTTGGGAGCAGGAAATTGCAGTCACGAGTATTTACAATAGCATAGTCTTCACATCTTTACAACTTCAGCAAGATAGTAGCTATCTCTATCTTAATGCGGTGGCTAATGCATGGCTTAATTATGTTTTTGCTAGGACCAATCAATGATTGTGAATATGTTTGAAGCATCTAATATTAAGGCCTCTAGGTCATTAGTGAAAGGATTTCTGTGTGCATATTTCCTTATCTTTACTCTAATTTTCATACGTTCATGATGCCGGCGTTAGTACATCCCCACCATCTCTCTCTTCGTTTTGTATCCTTACTAAATCGTACTCTTCTCATTTTGTGGAAAGAAGTTTGCGAACGAGGAATTCGTAAGCCAGCTAGAGCTATTGTAAAGTTGATCAACCCAAATTTAGCTCAATTTTTTTGACTAGAATGTTTTAGTTCTTCTCGAAGTTCTTGTAAGCACATAGTAATAAATCACGTCAACTTCTAAAACGTAAGGATTGAGACGGGGGAAAAATGTGAGATGTTGATCGTACAAGGCAATTTTTTGACATCATTTCTTTTGGAATTTCTAGTCCTCTTCTTCGCATAAATGTAAATCCTTAAAAGGTGGATCTGAAAGTGGGCACTGTCGTGATAATTTTTGCTGTTCTTTATACAATTAAGCCTTCCTTTCTAACAAGTCTTATAGTGGGCGAAATAAGAAAGCGCGGTATTGCGAAGCCAACATTCCTATCTTTTGTAGTCATGGTCGAGATTCCGAGGTTCTGCAAAAATTTAGTTATCAGTAGATCATAATGATATTATCACTTTTTAGCAATACGACTAGGGCGTAACTAGAAGCAAGGATAAAAGAGAATTAGCTTTGAGGCGATGCTATCGTCTGAGAAACTTCTACAAAAAATATCTCTTCTCGAAAAGCCTTAGAAGCTTCTTGGATATTTGCGTGAATACCTAGAATGAACGCAAGAATGAGCATCTATCTATTACGAATGATTTACAGCCGTTTCTGTCATCCTGCAATCTTTGACATTGCCTACCACTATTTAAGCGGGTTCAAGTCATCTT